TTGGTATGCGCCGTTCAGTTACGTATTATCAAAGTTGGGTGGATTTGAATAACATCTTGAACTTATAGTGCCGTTCGATGATGTTAGGAGTTAAGCAATTTTGTTTGCATTACTTTCCGTTGCTGGTGGAGCTGTGGGATTCAGTAATTTTACCTGGTGGGTTTGGTGGTGTGCCAAAGCTTTTGGTCGAATTCCCTAGAACTGTATAATAGATGCCTCGGGGATGTTTGCTGAGATGTCTAGATGGATGGAGGATGTTGGTTGCGCTCATCAGTCTGCCAAAAATCGACGTTTCAAGACCTGCCTCCAAAACCTCGTCTACATTGAACTTCATGGGTTTCCATAATCTTCAATCAGTACATGGGAATATCCAAGACTTTAATCAGTTATTTTGTTGCATTGTATCAAGAATCCTAATGTCGACTCCAATTAGCACTGACTGTTGTAGACATATGGAGTTAGAACTATAGACATTTTCTGTTTTATTTTGCTGGTTAAAAAGGACCCCGGCAGCTATCTCAGTAATTTCAAAGACAAGTATTGCAGTGTGTGACATTTTGTTCCTCAAGTACTCTGGCTCCTGTTTTCCGGATTTTATTTGAATTGAGTCCAGTAGTATGCTAACATCCGAAGCCCAGTTTCAGTTTCTGCTTTTCAGTGACCTGTCCTGTACCTAACTGTATCCTTTCTGCATTAACAGGTTTCAGCTGTTGTTCCCCATGGAATGAATGTTTTGCAGGAAATATCCTGTACATTTTCAAGATTATGTTTAGATGATGTTCACTCTGCTACATTCTCTGGCATGGCGTAGAGTTGAGTTGGTGCCAAGGTAGTGTTGCCAGATGAAGGAATGGACTAACAAAATAGTCTCTTAAGATATCAAAGTTGACTGAAAAATATACTCCATTTACACCGAAATGGAAAACCCACTCAAATGTGAGATTCGTAGCCCTAGGCTGCTTGCATTAATAGTGTCTATATTTATCCTTTGCATGGATACGTTATGAATTGGTGTATGTTTGCAACAATCAAAACCACTTTAGCACAAATATTTCTTCAATTGAAATTTTCACCAGCAAGAGCCTTAAGGAGTCGAATTAGTCAGTTCATAAATCACAATGTAGGAGAACAAAGGTAACAGTGTGTGTTCATTTATCAGTAATATCTATGTAATAGGACAATAATGAATTGGACAGGATCCACATATAAGATCTACCTCCGACACATAAACAATCTGATACCAAGAGGCAAGGAAGTCATAGCGAGCTGTGTGTTGTGCTACTCACACCTCTCATCACAGAAATTCCATCACCCTTCTGGCTGCTTTGTGATTCACAATGCTTACGTTGGGCTGCTGGGAAGCCCGAGATTTCGTGAAACACACACGGGAAATGCAGGCCCAGCTGGCATAAATCTACTGGAGGTGTTGTGGTTGCCCTGAGCCTTTTCTATACAAATGAGTGGAATAAGATC